AGGACAGGAAGAATGAGCTTCCCTAGGCCACCTCCTTCCTGCCTCCACTTCTCTTCTTAACCAGGGAGGGGGCCTTCCACGGAGGTCACCCAGCCCTGGCCGATGTCCTCTCGGTCCTCATGGGTAAGAACAGGCCACTGACCCTTGGCAGTTAACGGGACTGGGAAAGCTACCTGGCTTATGCCTTCTCTATAAAGGTAAAGGGGACAGCTGTTGGGTGTTAAGAAAACAAATAAATTATTCTCTTTTAGTTTCAGCTCCAGAATTTGTTTTTGAGCACGGCTATCAAACTTACCTCCCCACGGAAAGCAATGAAAACCAAACAGCCACAGTCATCTCTCTGCCTGCCAAGTCACGTGCCAAAAAACCCTCAGCCCCACCTGCTCAGAAAAGGCTGAACTGCTGCTATCCAGGTAAAGGCAGCCTCGAGCCCACGGCGTAGAGGGTGTGACTCTGAACAGGGCCCAGGACCCAAGGCTGGAGCTCCTGACAGCTCGTTCTCCCCACGCTCCAGACTGCCTGGCTTAAGCCTCAGAGCTGGGGTGGGGGGTGCCCCGCCACCACATGTGACCTTGCCCATCCTGCCTGGTCACCAGGCACATGAGCTAAGGCAGGTGTCAACACTGACCCTCAAGTTGGCACTCATCAAAATTTCAGGTTGCCGTGAATTTTTCTTCCTGTGATCTAGCTTAAGGAGACACATCCAGAAAGATTTTTTTTTTAATTATAACGGCTTTTTTTTACATCATTTTACGCCTTTTCCATCTCAGTTGTCATCCCCATGGGCCTCCCATCACCAGATCACCTGTGTGCCATCACCATAGCCCTATGCACTTCTCCCCACCCCCACTCCACCCCCATAAAATGCCTCTGGTATATAGTTGTTCATTTTTCACCCCCCTGGTCCTTTACATTCCTGCTATGAGTAAAACCATCCAGTATTTTTCTTTTTCTTTCTGGCTTATCTCACTAAGCGTGATCCCGTCCAGCTCCATCCATGTTGCTGCAAAAGTGATGTGTTTTGTTTTTTCATTGCTGAGTAATACTCCATTGTGTATATGCACCACATCTTTTTAATCCAGTCATCTACTCAGAAAGATTATTTTGTCCTTTTTAAAAAACTTTATGTGAAAGTAACTTTAGACTGACCAAAAAGTTCCCAGAGGCTTATTGCAAATGTTACCATTAGCTTTGCTGTTCTTCCAAGGTATACATATATTTTTGGGCAGCCCATTTTAAAAGCAAGCTGCAGATATGATGTTCCTTCACCTCTAAATACCCTAGTGTATATCCCCTGGAAACCAGGAAGCTCTTTTATATAACCACAATATCATAATAAAAATCAGGAAATCAACGTGTATTACCAAATCTACTGATTTGATCATTTTAACAATTTTGATAATGTCCCCAGTATCAAAAGAAAAACATCTCCCCTGGTCCAGGACATCATCTGTGATACACATAACATTTGGCTTCTTTAGTTTCTGTGATCCTAAACTTTGTCTTTAGGATCGATAAAAATTACCCAGGTCCGTTATTTTGTAAAACGTGCCTCAGTCTGGGTTTGTTGATGTTTCCTCGTGGTCAGACTGAGGTTGTGCCGTTTGGGCAGGAAACACAGAAGACGGGATCATCTCTTCTGGGGGGGCTGGGGCGGGGTGCTCTCTGTCCCTTTACTCTGGGCCCACTGGAACTGTCATTGTCTGGGTCAGGGAGCTTCTTTACTCTCCAGTTTCTGTTTCCCCTTGTAACTCATCTTGCTTTGTTTGCTTAAGGTTGCCAATTCAAGACTGCTTACGGCATGAAAGACATGGAGCGCCACTTGAAAATCCACACTGGTGAGTGGCGTTTTCTTTGGCGTCTACCCCCAAACACGTGCTCCGTGCCAAGAGCCGGGGATCCAGACAAGTCAGGCTCATGACGGGCACCACCTCGGTGGTCGGCATGGAAACGCCGAGCAGAGAAAGTAAAGAGAGCTGCTGTTTCTACAAGAGATGTTGGCGGGAGAGGTTTAAAGCAGCAACATCTAGTGCTGAGCCGATGTGGGCAGCCCTGCATGGGGCTGGGATGGCTGCCGTCATCTCACAATGAGTCTGCCAAACTGGTTTAAAACTTAAATGTGCATATCCTCATTTTGAGGAGACGATCCTATAAATTGTGTGTTTGTAAGTGTGTGATGATGGGTGAAAGAAATGAAGAGGAAGTAACTTTTCTTCTACATATCATTACATCGTGTCATTGGGTACAATGAGGTACTTGCAAATTTGAAAGAAAAATTTAATACACATTTTATTTTTTTTTTAAGATTTATTTATTCATACAGAACTGGGGTACAGGCCAGAGGCTCAGGGGTGGTGAGAGGCTTCACCAGAGACAGAGAGGGGAGCAGAACAGGCAGATCGACAAAGTACACTGCTGAGGGGAGCAGCGGGCGGGTCAGGAGAGGTCTGCCGCGCCCTGTGGTCACCTCTGGGGCAGGCGGGGATCGAACTCATGCGGAAGCGGCTTTAGCTTCTCAGTGCTGCGCTTTAACCCGCTGCGCCACCAGGGAGGGCCCACATTTTATTTTTTTAAGATTTATTTATTTATGCCTTCAAGAGCTGGGGTATAGGCCAGAGGTGTGAGGGGTGAGAGGATTCACCAGAGACAGAGTGGGGAGCAGAACAGTCGGATCCACTGAGACACACTGCTGAGGAGAGAAGGGGGGAGACCGGAGAGGTCTGCTGTGCCCTGTGGGTCCCTCCCTGGCCACGGATAGAACTCGTGCTGCGGTGACTGTGGATACCTTGATATCGCTGAGACTTAACCCCTTGGACCACCAAGGACCCTTTCCCCCCTTTTTATAAGTTAATACATATTTTAAAAGGAGAGGAAAAGATCGCTATATGGAAAAACGAAAAACATAATTGTTTCCCAAATTTTCTATATAGAAAAGTAATTGCTTTAGGTTATTTTTAAACAAAGTGCTAGATTTCCATAAGTCACATGATGCAGATATATGTCACCAGAGTAAAAATGTGTATAGGTTGGGGTCACAGTGAAATTGGGCTTGAATTTCACTAATGCTATATGTAGCCTCGGCTTCGAAGGAGGAAATATCCAGTAGCTATTTCTAGCATTTCTTGGTGACAGGCAGTGACTGCCTTATTGTGTGGGGTCACTGTGAGAGCCATGGGACGCCTGTGGGCTTCCAATGCTGGCATCCATCTGTCAGGTGAGGGTGTGTAGCATCCCAAGAGCGCACTGCCATGGTGATTCATGGTAACGGGAGGCGGGTTCCAAAAAAACACGTGAAGGTCATGCCCTTACGTCTACCGCACGTCTTAGGCAGCATCCTATACCCACAGTGGCCGGAGCTTGGGTTCAGAGGGTGGTTTCTGCAGAAGCTCAGCCCTCATCGCCATCCTCAAGTGGGAGCTTTGGCAGCTGTCCTTACCTGGGTCAGCCTCAGAGAGAGAATGTGGTCCCGAGCACAGCCAGAGCAGGGCCTCTGTCCACAGAGCTCACGGCCCTCCACCCAGCACACACCCGCCTACACAGGCACAGCTCGGACAGCAGCCGAGGAACTGTCCAGCAGCCGATCATACTGGGAAATGGCCCCTCCCGGAGTCTGGGGTTGGACCGCCCAGGTTTCTGACCATAAAATCGTACATTTTGATAAACTTTAAGCTGTGTTCTTAATTCCAAGACACTTAATCTATGCCGATCATGACCAGCTTGGGCTAATGATCGATTTTAGCACTTACTCTCTAGGTTGGGCCCAAGTGCACATTTTCATATATAAAGTAAGCAAACAGGATCCTGACTGGCAGCCACTTGTATATCCGTGCCCCCAAGGCCAGCCCTGATTGTGCCGTGCACCCCGTTCTCAGAATCTGGGGTGCCTGCATGCAGAACTAGAATCACACACAATAGATTACTTTATCTGAACATATAAGTCACTTATATGGTCACTGCAGCCCTAGCTTTTTTTCATCGACTCTTGGACCTATTTCCACAGCCGAATATAATATCTGCTTAATTCTTTCAACGGCCTGATCAGGAATTGGTTTAGTAGTTTACAGACATGTTTACAGAGAAGTCTCTCATCCTTACAAATCACATGGTGAGATTTTATGACATAAAAAATGGTGTAGATTATTTTAAGAGCAGTAAAGTCATCAAAGAGAGGGTCAGTATTATATTGGGCTAAGAAAGAAACAGTCCTGGAATCTAATCTGGGAGGAGTCGATGAAATTGTTCAAAAGCTTGGAGCCTTCCAGAAAGTAAGTGTTAAAGTGGTTGTCAACTGAGAGGATTTTTATAAAACACCCCACCCCCTAAAAAAAAAGCTAGAGCACACGCACACGGTCTGAAGGACTGGAAAACACCCATGAGGAGAATAGCAGCTGTCCGAGTTGACAGTGGGTGTGTGTTTGAATGAGCAAGGACGTTGCTGTAACAGACCAACTGGCACCTGCCCCAGCCAGTGCTAAGTCATCTAGGACCAGCAGTGATCTGGGCAGAGGGCGGCTCTGTCCTGCAGTAGAAGAAGCGTAGGGACTGTGGGGAAGGTTTGCTTTGCCATCGCGACAGTGTGTTGTGTTCATCCCCCGTCTGCACCTGCTGCCTCACCTGCAGCTCACGCCCATGTCTTGGCTCCACCTGGCAGGAATTGCAAACAAAAGACAAGTAAAAAGCAAGCAGTTGCAATCACGCTTAGTGACATAAGCCAGAAAGAAAAGGAAAAATACCGGATGCTTTCACTCAGCAGGAGCAGAAAGGACCAGGGGAGAAAATAACAATAATAATGAACAGCCATAGACCAGAGACATTTCACGGGGGTGGCGCAAGGAAGGGATCAAAAACAGCGGGGGGTGGGGACTGCATGGGACCGTGGTGATGGCACAGGGTGATTTGGTGATGGGAAGCCCACGGGGATGACAACTGAGATGGAAAGATGCACAAAATGATGTAAAAATAAACTATTATATTAAAATTTTAAAAATAAAAGCAGCAGTTGCCTTTTACAAAGGGACACTTGTCCCTGCTCGGCCATTGTGCCCATGAGAACTTGGAGTCCAAATCGCACCAAGCTGCCAGTGAGACGTGAGGAGGGTGGTCTCTGCTTGCCAGGCACTTGCAAGGCTACAGCTTAGGGGTCCGGAGTATTAGGGTGTCTGCTGTCAACAGGGAGAACAAACAGGACAAGGCAGTTTCTCCTGCTGTTAAACTGTTATTTGTTGCTGCCCTCTGTTTTGAGTCAATACGAAATAGATAATCGTGGCAGGAAAATTTAGAAAATACCAAGTTCAGCTACAGAACTCCCCCTGCCCCCCCAAAGAGCGCCTCTTCACCAGTCGCCCCTCCGCCTCCCTGGGGTGTCCTCCGTCTCCTTGTGATCGTTGTTTGCTCGGAAAGCGGAAGGAATCAGCCTTGTTCTCTCTCGTCCTCTTTTCCACCTCGGTGCCGTCTGCGTGTGTCCGAAGGCGACAAGCCCCACAAGTGTGAGGTCTGCGGCAAGTGCTTCAGCCGCAAGGACAAGCTCAAGACACACATGCGCTGCCACACGGGCGTGAAGCCCTACAAGTGCAAGGCCTGCGAGTATGCAGCGGCCGACAGCAGCAGCCTCAACAAGCACCTGCGGATCCACTCGGACGAGCGGCCCTTCAAGTGCCAGATCTGCCCCTACGCCAGCCGCAACTCCAGCCAGCTCACCGTGCACCTGCGCTCCCACACAGGTGAGCCCCCGGGCTGCCTGGCTCTGGGCTTCCGCTCCCCGCGCTGGCAGCATTCGGCTGAGCGTCAGTCAGGGGCTGGGGGCCTGGGGTCCCCCCCGTTTATAGTTTTGCTTTTCACCGCCCAGAGGTGCCATTGCTCAGGGTATTTGCCTCTTTAGCTAACGCTGCAGTTGGTCCACTAGCCACGTGGGTCGTGGGGGAGGTGGGCTTGGTGAAGTGGAGCTGCAATCACTGCGTTCTTCATGCATTTCTGCATAGGCAGGTGCTGGGTAGACTCTCATTTCTGAAGTGTGCTGTGGTTGCTTCTGCATGGGACAGCTGGATGGGAACACTTGGAAGAGTAGCTGACTCCCGGCTGTGTTCTCTTGGCGCGTGCGATGGTCAGCTCCGGCGACAAACATGCTGTGTGACAACCCACGAAACCTCAGCAGCGTCTTAGCGTAGGCAGCTACTGCTCGTGTACTTTGGCTCAGGGAGGGGTTAGCTGGGCACCTCTTGGATCCAGGCTGGGCTTAATCACTGGTGTGGGCAGGCCGCTGTCCAGTGGCCTTGGCCAGGGCAGTCTAGCTGGATTCCCCATAGCTTTTCATATCCCTCCTCCAAAGACCAGTGGGCTCTCCCAGCTTGAATTTCTTATGCCAATGGCCCCTTGGGAAAGCCCGTTTCAAGCCTGTTGCGTTGAGGCTGCACATGGCCCATTGGCTAAAGCAAGTTGTGTGTTAAGCCCGGTGTCCAAGCTTAGAGCTGAGCTCACCCACCATGTGGTCACCTGAGGTCACAGGACAAAGGCAAGTAAGAGCAGTGTATAGGGGTCTGATTGGAGAAAGGTTAGAATCTGAGTCTTGCTATTCTGGCTCCTTGTCAAAGAGCTGAGGCTGTTTCTGCAGCTGCAGCTTACCCACCATGGTTCCCGTCTCAGTGACACGCAACACGGGTCGGACGGAGAGTCCGGATCACACGGTCCCTTCGGGTCATGATGGGGCCCCTCTGGGCCTAGACACTTTCAAAGTTTTTTTTTTTTTTT